CAAAATAACGGATGTTACCAGATGCGGACATTAACAGATGTAAACAGATGATCATCCATTTACATCCGTTAGTCCACAGAAATACATGGGTGTCCATTTTTTTTTATGGACACCCATAAAAATGAAAAATGGACATACGGAACGTTCGTGTGAAAGGGGCCTCATGTAAGTCATAATTACGCCCCCCCTTTTTTTTGTTTGTTTGTTTTATATAACGTTTATGTTGGGGGATATGGACATGCTGAGAGCAAATCATCCCATCTACATTCCACAAGGAAATTGATAAAGTAGTCAAAAAATCCCCTCTACTAGTTCAGCACATGTGCCAGGGTGGATTGCAAATTCAGTATCTAACCAGTGGACTATATTGAGATCGGCTCATTGCTGTTGCCGATGGCTAAATTGCCATGCTGCATGACCGGACGCACACACATCCCACCGCGCAGAACTATTTAGAGCACATGCTTTGCTTACACTGTAAATTCGCATCTGTTACGCAACTGAATCCTGCCGCTGGAACTGGACGGCTACATCCAGGATAATGAGGATTTTACAGCGGCGGCACCTGCTGAACAGCAATCTATCTTCCTGCACACGCTGCAAAATGTGCAAAAGAACATTGTAATCAGAAACGTTCAACCAGCTCGCGGCTCCAAATATCAATTCACAGATTTTAGTTTTTTGTAAAAAGGCTTCCCAGGTGAGGTAAGACGTTCCTTGCTGTGCAGGACCCCTTCCTAATATTTCAACTGATCTCCAGACATATACAGTATATACACTATATTGGCAAAAGTATTTTAGTCTTGAAGATTAGTTAAACCAAACAACCCCCCCAACATTACATACACTATGGTGCCAAAAGTATTGGTCGGCCGGCCTTTCCACACACATGAACTGTAATGGCCCCCCAGTCTTAGTCCGGAGGGTTCAATATTGAGTTGCCCTTTGCAGCTATAACAGCTTCGACTCTTCTGGGAAGGCCGTCCACAAGGTTTAGGAGGGTGTCTATGGGAAGGTTGGACCATTCTTCCAGAAGCACATTTGTCAGGTCAGGCACTGATGTCGGGGGAGGAGGCCTGGCTCGCAGTCTGCGCTCTAATTCATCCCAAAGGTGTTCTATGGGGTTGAGGTCAGGACTCTGTGCAGGACAGTCAGGTTCCTCCACCCCAAACTGGCTCCTCCATGTCTTTATGGACCTTGCTTTGTGCACTGGTGTGCAGTCATGTTGGAACAGGAAGGGGCCATCCCCAAACTCCTCCCACAAAGGTGGGAGCATGAAATTGTCCAATATGTCACCTTAAGAGTTCCCTTCACTGGAACTAGGGGGCCAAGCCCAACCCCTGAAAAACAACCCCCCACCATAATCCCCCCTCCACCAAACTTTACTCCATGTCTTTATGAACCTTGCTTTGTGCACTGGTGGGCAGTCATGTTGGAACAGGAAGGGGCCATCCCCAAACTCTTCCCACAAAGTTGGGAGCATGAAATTGTCCAAAATGTCTTTGAGTTCCCTTCACTGGAACTAGGGGGCCAAGCCCAACCCCTGAAAAACAACCCCACACCATAATCCCCCTCCACCAAACTTTACACTTGGCACAATGCAGTCAGGCAAGTACCGTTTCTCCTGGCAACCGCCAAACCCAGACACATCCATCAGATTGCCAGACAGAGAAGCATGATTGGTCACTCCAGAGAACACGTCTCCACTGCTCTAGAGTCCAGTGGCGGCATGCTTTACACCACGGCATCCGACGCTTTGCATTGCACTTGGTGATGTAAGGTTTGGATGCAGCTGCTCGGCCATGGAAACCCATTCCATGAAGCTCTCTACGCACTGTTGTTGGGCTAATCTGAAGGTCACACCAAGTTTGGAGGTCTTTAGCTACTGACTCTGCAGACAGTTGGTGACTTCTGCGCACTGTGCGCTTCAGCATGCGCTGACCCCGCCCTGTCATGTGACGTGGCCTACCACTTGGTGGCTGAGTTGCTGTTGTTCCCAGTTGCTTCCACTTTGTTATAATCCCACTAACAGTTGAGCGTGGAATATTTAGTAGCCAGGAAATGTCACGGATGGACTTATTGCACAGGTGACAACCTATCACGGGACCACGCTTGGAGTCACTGAGCTCCTGAGAGCGACCCATTCTTTCCCCAATGTCTGTAGAAGCAGTCTGTATGCCTAGGGGCATATATATATATATATGAAAACACATGTGAAAGGGTTAGTTCACCTTTACAATAAACACTGTAGTGCAATATATGATTAGATTGAATATATGCGACTTTCAAGGTACTAAAATATTTCTAATAATAAAAATAATAGATATATTTTATCCATTGTTACAACAAGAGCATAGCGTTCTGTTTCAAATGCCGTTTTATACATAGACTTTAGACTCAGTCTGTTTGGTCAGTATGGTCACCTGCTGACCTGGCACTCTCTACAGGCAGCTTAACTCTTAATTAAGACACAGAAGTTGAATCCAAAGAAATTTTACTTCAGCTAATGGCAGTACAGAAGATGTTTTTCCAGTGTAAGAAGACCATGACTTCCCTAAACCCTTTCTCTGATACTAACAGTGACTGAGAGAACATGGAAGGAAGAGGGCTGGTCTAACTTAGACTAAACTAACTAGCACTAAACAGGATGGGGAGAACAGGGAGAGAAACATTACCGGTTGCATGCTGTGTGAATATCTCCTTAGCGGTGCACGTTTAGGGGATATTCACTGTACCTACAGGTAAGCCTTAATATAGGCTGACCTGTAGGTACAACTTAAAAAGTGGACTTTACTTCCACTTTAAGAGGCCCCTGTAGGTTAGAAATCATTGTGCGGTGCAAAGAATCTCATCTTTCCTTGAAATTGCACATCTGTAGGCCAACCACAACTTCTACACTGCATTCCATATACTGTACCCTGCGCCATCCTGGATATATATATATATATATATATACAGAGAGAGAGGGAGAAAGAGGGGGGGAAAGGGGGGGGAGATGAGAGAGGGGGGGGAAGAGGGAGAGAGGGGGGGAGAGGGGGGGGGGAGAAGAGAAAGGAGGGAGAGAGAGCGAAGAGAGAGAGAGGGGGGAGAAGAGAGAGAGAGCAGGGGGAGAGAGGGAGAGAGAGAAGAGATAGAGGGGAGGGAGAGGGAGAGAGAGAAAGAGAAAGGAGGGAGAGAGAGGGGGAGAGGGAGGGGGGGGAGAGGGAGGGGGGGGAGAGGGAGAGAGGAGGGGGGGGGAGAGGGAGGGGGGGGAGAGGGAGAGGGGGGGAAGAGAGGGAGAGGGGGGGGAAGAGAGGGAGAGGGGGGGGAAGAGAGGGAGAGAGGGGGGAGGGAGAGAGAGAGGGGGGGGAGAGAGGGTGGAGAAGAGAGGGAGAGAGAGAAAGGGAAAAGAGAGAGGGGGAGGGAGGAGAGAGAGGGAGAGAGAGAGGGGGGAGAAAAGAGGGGGGGGGGCGGAGAAGAGAGGGAGAGAGAGAAAGGGAACAGAGAGAGGGGGAGAGAGGGAGAAGAGAGAGAGAGAGAGGGGGGGGGGAGGGGAGAGAGAGAGAGGGGGGGGAAGAGAGAGAGAGATGGTGTCAGTCAGTAGGGCAGTGACCGGTGTCAGTAGTCCCTTTCTCTACAGCCTCAGCTATACTGGACCATGAATAAATAGGACACAGGAACCATGAATTATCAGTGGACAGAGGAGTGATCGGTACAGATCACTCACTGTGTTCATTCAGAAAAGGAATGTAATTTACTGGCCCCTTCCCCAGCTCTCCATCCTCGATCCCCCTGTGTCTCTGCAGCAACCTGAGAGAGTGGAAGGAAGCTGCTGTTGGAAAAAAGGTCACACATGGAGGTGCTAGGAAGCAGGGGAAATCTGCGCCACAGAGGGAGATTAGGGTGTGCCCAGGCACACCCGGCACACCCCCTGCGCACACCTATGATCCTGGATATAAGCCAAGACAGATGGAGCGCTGAGGAAGCTCAAAGCAATCATGTCATCAAGTCACATGTCCCGACCTCGACTCCCAGCATGCAACCTGCACCCTCTCCCTTCCCCATTTAACCACATACTATGCTCTTGTTCACATGACCCTCCCCCCCCCCCCCCGCCAGTCCAGGTCAGGCATGCTGCTTTATGCATGGCATTCTGGGATATGGAGTTTGGGGGGTTTAACTAAACTTCAGAGCTAAAATGATTTTTTTTTTTAAAAAGTGTTCAAAAAACACGAAAAAGACTCCGGCAAAGAAAGGGTTGAGATTCAATGCTCCTGCTACTGACCGCTGGGGTCTGGGGGTGCACAGCAAGTACCACAGGGGCCACAGGTTGGGAACTAGGGCTTTAAATCCAAGCCTTAACACCCCCCCCCCAGTACTCCTGACACCGGGGGGGGGGGTCTGTGCCTGAGATTTCGGCACAATGGTTGCGGCTGTGATTCGCTGAGATCTCCCCGGCAGGCACACCAGTGAACCAGAAGAGAGAAGAGCGCTCATCCTGACAGGCAGACCGCGGGCGACGGGCCTATACTTATTCCGGCGACTTACTCCAGGTAATTTTTGCTTATTTGCAGCAATAAAAAATTGACATTTATTTCAGTCCACGGGTAGGTGGCTCCGAGAGAAATAGGTCAGACCAGGAGGGATCACAATGAGAGTGCAACCGCACTATGAAGGGTGACAGGATAACCTGACAGGATGAGGAAAGGCCGACCAAAGGAACTGAGCTGAGACGCGATAGACTAATGAGAAGTACAGAAAGACCTGCCAGACAGAGAACTGCATTCATTTTCATGGCTTATAGATATATACAGTAGGTTCGAAAAAAGAATAGCATTGCTATAGGGCGGTAGTCCTCCAAACTGGTAGTCTCCAAACTGCAGCCCGAGGGCACTATTTCATCTACTGGTAACCAATAATGGGAAAAAATTCCCCCCACTGACACCAATGATGGGGCACTATTCCTCCCCTGACACCAATGATGGGGCACTATTCCTCCCACTGACGCTAATGATGGGGCACTATTCCTCCCACTGACACCAATGATGGGGCACTATTCCTCCCACTGACATCAATGATGGGGCACTATTCCTCCCACTGACACCAATGATGGGGCACTATTCCTCCCACTGATACCAATGATGGGGCACTATTCCTCCCACTGACACCAATGATGGGGTACTATTCCTCCAACTGACGCTAATGATGGGGCACTATTCCTCCCACTGACACCAACGATGGGGCACTATTCCTCCCACTGACGCTAATGATGGGGCACTATTACTCCCACTGACACCAACGATGGGGCACTATTCCTCCAACTGACACCAATGATGGGGCACTATTCCTCCCACTGACACCAATGATGGGGCACTATTCCTCCCACTGACACCAATGATGGGGTACTATTCCTCCAACTGACACCAATGATGGGGCACTATTCCTCCCACTGACGCTAATGATGGGGCACTATTACTCCCACTGACACCAACGATGGGGCACTATTCCTCCAACTGACACCAATGATGGGGCACTATTCCTCCACTGACACCAACGATGGGGCACTATTCCTCCAACTGACGCCAATGATAGGGCACTATTCCTCCCACTGACACCAACGATGGGGCACTATTCCTCAAACTGACGCCAATGATGGGGCACTATTCCTCCCACTGACACCAATGATGGGACACTATTCCTCAAACTGACACCAATGATGGGGCACTATTCCTCCCACTGACACCAATGATGGGACACTATTCCTCCCACTGACACCAATGATGGGGCACTATTCCTCCCACTGATACCAATGATGGGCACTATTCCTCCCACTGACGCTAATGATGGGGCACTATTCCTCCCACTGACACCAATGATGGGGGCACTATTCCTCCCACTGATACCAAATGATGGGGCACTATTCCTCCCACTGACACCAATGATGGGACACTATTCCTCCCACTGACGCTAATGATGGGGCACTATTCCTCCCACTGACACCAATGATGGGGCACTATTCCTCCCACTGATACCAATGATGGGGCACTATTCCTCCCACTGACACCAATGATGGGACACTATTCCTCCCACTGATACCAATGATGGGGTACTATTCCTCCCACTGATACCAATGATGGGACACTATTCTTCCCACTGATGCCAATGATGGGGCACTATTCCTCCCACTGACACCAATGATGGGGCACTATTCCTCCCACTGACACCAATGATGGGACACTATTCCTCCCACTGACATCAATGATGGGGCACTAATTTTCCCACTGACAATCCTGCCTACAGTATTTAAAAAAATAAGTATATACTTACCTGTTTTTAGCCTGCTACGGTCATGTGATCCAGCTCCCCTGTGTCGGTGAATGGCCAGCTGCAGGGGGTCTATGGGGGTACCAACAATGACTGGGCTATGGGGTGTCAACAATGGCTGGGCTATAGGGTGCCAACAATGGCTGGGCTATGGGGTGCCAACAATGGCTGGGCTATGGGGGTGCCAACAATGGCTGGGCTATGGGTGCCAACAATGACTGGGCTATGGGGTGTCAACAACGGCTGGGCTATGGGGTGCCAACAATGGCTGGGCTATGGGGTGCCAACAATGGCTGGGCTATAAAGTGCCAACAATGGCTGGGGACTATGGTAGATCAAAAAGGCGCAGCGCTAAAAGCAAATAGTACCAAACTAATATACTCAAGAAGGTGAATATGAGCATAAAACTATTGAATAAATGATATCAAATAAACAAGACAACAATAATAAAAGTGCATATATGGGTGACTGGTTAGTGTCAGAAAAAAGTGCCAAAGTCTATGTATTAAATATATGATATAGTGATCCTTTGTGTGTCTTCTGGTGATCAAATATTCAAATTATACACTCACCACATGCATAATTCCAATATGCATATAGAAGACTATTCACATCTCAAGGTCTCAAATGGAATCCTCTTATGGACTTGTCTATGGGGTGCCAACAATGGCTGGGCTATGGGGTGCCAACAATGGCTGGGCTATGGGGTGCAACAATGGCTGGGCTATGGGGTGCCAACAATGGCTGGGCTATGGGGTGCCAACAATGGCTTGGCTATGGGGTGCCAACAATGGCTTGGCTATGGGTGCCAACAATGGCTGGGCTATGGGGTGCCAACAATGGCTTGGCTATGGGGTGCCAACAATGGCTGGGCTATGGGGGTGCCAACAATGGCTGGGCTATGGGGTGCCAACAATGGCTGGGCTATGGGGTGCCAACAATGGCTGGGCTATGGGGTGCCAACAATGGCTGTGCTATGGGGTGCCAACAATGGCTGGGCTATGGGGTGCCAACAATGACTGGGCTATGGGGGTGCCAACAATGGCTGGGCTATGGGGTGCCAACAATGGCTGGGCTATGGGGTGCCAACAATGGCTGGGCTATGGGGCGACATCACCGCCTGGAATTCCCAGCCATTCTCCTTCTCTCCCCTTCATGCTGTGCCAGTTAACTCTAGACAAGGTATATAATTAATGTATATGTAAGAAACTGATAAAATACCAAACCAATTATCTGGAAATGGGGGGGGGGGGGGGGGGGTACAGTCCATAAACTACGCAATGAATGAATTTTAACGTTTCACCACGGTAAAACCATACATTTTTTTTTTTTCCTAACCTAAAACTTTATTTATATCACATAAGGGACCAAAAGTCCCCGTGTGATCCAATGGATTCTATTTATTGAAACATCAGGGGTTTATTTAGGGCTATTAGACCCCTGATGTCTCCCCTGCCCTCCATTGAAGCTACTGGAGTTCAGATCACCTTCGTTAGCTTCTTGCCCAGCCACAGCGACCAGGGAAGGTAACAGCTGAACCCGTAAGTTACGAAATGCAAGTCACTTCCAGGTTCTTCAGTAAATACTGGGTGCTCTCCCTCGCCTCTATCGGGTGCCGGTCCGGGTCCACAGGTGGGAACGCAGAACCTGGAAAATAGGGGGATACGAAGGATGGGCAATGTACCAGGGGTGTGTGAAAGTAATCGGGCGACTGTACAGCCGCTGGATCGCTTCCACCTGACAGCCGGCTTGTCATATTTACATACATTCCCAGCTACTGTAGTCGCCGGGCGTGTTTGTAAACCCCCACTGCTGTCGACGTCTGACATACATCATTGGCAGCAAAAGGGTTAATAAGGATCTTTTTTTTTTTTTTTTTTTAGCCACGATTGTGAGTTTCAAATCTCATTTAAAATAAGCTGATTTGATACAAATAAGAGTCCTGGTGTGTTAGCTTTGACAATTTAGCTTCATGTATTGTCTGCAAAAAAATGAAAAGCATGTTTGGGAATTCCATATGACATTTCATTATGTAATACGTGGGCAAAGTATGGCAATAAAGGCTTTTATGAGTGTCAGCATAAATCTTCTCATGTGTGATATCAAATGCGGCCAACTGCGTGAGCATGAATGTCAATGTTCAAAGGTTACACGATAAAGCGCCCATCATAAGTCACAGAAATATATCTGTAGTCACGTAGGCTTAGTACTGACAGCTTCCATTTTCCTGTTACAGCAGTTGTGCCGGGTGTCTGAGTATGACTGTGCGGCTCAATAGTTACCAGACTTAGACCCAGTGCACCCAATAATCAGCACTCAGTAGCAGACCTGGTCAGACACCCACTTTTTTCCTCTACAATACAGATCTGTGGGCATTTGTGATAATGGATGTGGCTGTTACTCAGCTCTGCTAGCACAGTGCACTGCAGCGTGAGGGCAGAAAGAAGCATTTTTACTAGACCCAGTGCACTCAATAAGCAGCACTCAGTAACAGACCTGGTCATACACACCCACATTTTCCTCTACAATACAAGTCTGTGGACACTTGTGATGAGGAAAGTGGCTGTTACTCAGCTCTGCCAGCACAGTGCACTGCAGCGTGAGGGCAGAAAGAAGCATCTTTACTAGACCCAGTGCACTCAATAAGCAGCACTCAGTAACAGACCTGGTCATACGCACTCACATGTTTTTCTACAAGTCTGTGAACATTTGTGATGAGGGTTGTAACTGTTACTCTGCGAGCACAGAGAACTGCAGTGTTAGGTCAAAAAAAGCATTTTTAACGGGACCCAGTGCACTCAATAATCAGCACTTAGTAACAGACCTGGTCAAACACACACTTTTTCTCTACAATACAAGTCTCTGGGCACTTTTGATGAGGGAAGTGGGTGTTACTCAGCTTTGCCAGCACAGAGCACTGCAGTGTGAGGACAGAAAGAAGCATTTTTAACAGGACCCAGTGCATTCAATAATCAGCACTCAGTAACAGACCTGGTCATACACACCTACATTTTCCTCTACAATACAAGTCTGTGGACACTTGTGATGAGGGATGTGGCTGTTACTCAGCTCTGCCAGCAGAGAGCACTGCAGTGTGAGGGCAGAAAAGAGCATTTTTAACAGGACCCAGTGCACTCAATAATCAGCACTCAGTAAAAGACCTGGTCAGACACACACCATTTTCTTCCTTTACATTGCAAGCGTGTGGAAATTTGTGATGAGGGATGTTGCTGTTACTCAGCTCTGCCAGCACATAGCACTGCAGCGTGAGGACATAAAGAAGCATTTGTAACAGGACCCAGTGCATTCAATAATCAGCACTCAGTAACAGACTTGGTCAGACACACCCTCTTTTTCCTCTACAATACAATACAAATTTTCTCTGTGGGCACTTGTGATATTGGATGTGACTGCTACTCAGCTCTCTGCCAGCACAGAGCACTTCAGCGTGAGAGCAGAAACAAGTATATTTACTAGACCTAGTGTACTCAATATTCAGAACTCAGTAAAAGACCCATTTTCTTCCTCGACCGTGCAAGCGTGTGGGAAATTTGTGATGAGGGGCGTAGCTGTTACTCAGCTCTGCCAGCACAGAGCACTGCAGTGTGAGGATAGAAAGAAGCATTAGTAACAGGACCCAGTGCACTCAATAATCAGCACTCAGTAACAGACCTGGCCAGACACCCACTTGTTTTTTCTATAATACAAGTCTGTGGACATCTGTGATAAGGGATGTTGCTGTTACTCAGCTCTGCCAGCACAGAGCACTGTGACATGAGGGCAGAAACAAGCATTTTTAATGCACCTAGTGCACTCAATGATCAGCACTCAGTAACAGACCTGGTCAAACACACCCACTTTTTTTCCTGTGCAATACAAGTCTGCGGACACTTTGATGAGGGGTGGCTGTTACTCAGCTCTGCCAGTACAGAGTACTGCAGTGTGAGGCCTGAAAGAAGCATTTTCACTAGAACTAGTGCACTCAATAATCAGCACTCAGTAAGAGAACTGGCTAGACACACTCACTTGTTTCCCTCTGTAGCGTCCGATTTTTGTGTTGCCTAGGGCAGCACAAAACCTAAATACATCACTGGCGACAGGGGGCATAATCCTGCCATGGCAGGTGTACACAGCCCTACCCCCTGGCCTCTGCAGCTAAAAAATGGTTGGGGGGGGGGGTGAAACTACGGCTCAATCGCAGGGTTTCCCCCCCCCCCCAAACTACTAGTGTGAACATGTATTTGCTCATTCCCTCTAGTCTTCTCTAGAATTGTTACATTGTATTTTTTGTTACAAAGACTAATGTATTTCCTGTGTTCCTCAGCTCCTTCTAGTGGCCATAATGAGGTATTGTACTCCTCGCCCATAATAAAGAACAGGAGAGGAGAATGGCGATGGTTCAAATGCACGGGTGTCAAAACTGGCGGCCCTCCAGCTGTTGCCAAACTACAAGTCCCATGAGGCATTGCAAGAGTGACAAGTTACAAGCATGACTCCCAAAGGCAGGGGCATGATGGGGACTTGTAGTTCCTCAGCAGCAGCTGGACACCCCTGGT